AAAGTCCTTTGATTAGTTTTTCAATTGGCCAGTTAGTTTCAGCATTGTAACAACTACTTGATCCATGCAGAAACGTAGTTGTGGGCTCAGCATAGTAACTATCTTGATTTGTTCATATCACTTGTAACTATCACTTGATTAGTTTCTGGGCAAATGGTTATAGTCCCATATGTACACAAAAGAGCAGAAACATCTACTGCAAAGAGAAAGCACATCAATCTCTCTCTCCCCCTCCTGTCTGGAGAAGTAACAGAAAATCCCCAGGCAGATGTTTTTCCTTATGAATCCCTTCTAAACTGCTCTCTCTGAAAATTGTCTGCTGAAAGGATAAAGAGGAAAACTCACTTTCAGAGACACTGAAAGGGGCAGATTCTCAACCAGTGAATGAAAGACAGCAACAGTGTGCAAACAACCTTGGCTCATCACCAAACAAATGGAAGAATGAAAAGAAAGCTGTAAGCAAAACTTACTTACACCTGTGATCCAAATTGGTATTAAAATTGCGCTTCTCTCAATCCCAAACTCACCTTTCCCACACCTGTAATACTTTTGATTGGTCTTGTCTCTGTGCATCTGTTTATATGAGCATAGGAACTTTTAAAAAGAATAGAATTTAAGGTATAGAATGATAAGTTAGCAATTTGTTGTTCTTTCTTGCTGTTGATTAAAAATCGCTTGATTATGATAAATACTTATTTTCTTGGTAAGGAAAACATACCCTGCTGTGCACATTCTTTTAACCAGAATCAAGACAGTTGGGTAAAATTTGGTAGCACAGTGGTTTAATCAAATTTTCACATTGTGATGACTTTGAGCAGTGGGGCATTATTACCAATGTACTACCCCAGTGACACACAACAAAATAAACTGAAGCACGCTTTTAGAAACAAAATAATTTAGTTAATAAATTGCAATCAACCTTAAGTGTATATATATATTTGCTTTGCAGAATATTTAGTTTGTAAATCCTTTTGAAGCTATTATTGGCTCTTCGCAGTGAGTGTATTGGTTTTGATTCGTGAATTATTAAAATCTCAAAACTACTTTCATTACATTGGATACATTTTAAAAAATGAACAGAAATGCTCTTACACAGAACTGAACATCTTTTTTTCCATCACCAAATCACCTGTGGTATTCTTTTTCACCTATTAACCACCACCAGTAGATCACCCATATTTTCAATTGAATAATTTACGTACAAAGCCCTTTTAAGGGCAATATGCATTTGTTTTATTAATATTACATTTAATTGATATCATGTGGCAAACGTGGTGACCCGATTGCTACAAGCTTGGTGAACATTGAAATGCTTTTGGACAATGCTGCTTCAAAAAGCAGTCTGAGCTGTTTGCACCTTCTTTGAGTTATTGAATTTCTCAGCCCAGAAGGCTATTATTAAACTTAAATGTTTCCCAAAATCTAAGGTATGGAACCTCAAACAACTCACTGAAGTCCTGTTCACACTTCTCTAAATTCTCTTAAGTTCCCTTTGATATCTCAGCAAATTGATATAAGCAATTTGAATCCTGCAGGTCATCACTATGTATGTACGGGTGTGGGTGGTTGTGATGGGTAATGGATGTTCTTTAGCAGTTAACGTTTAAGAGACATGTTAGACGCAATGTAATAAATTACCTAATCCAGGTCAGGTACAAGACAGACATACCAGTTATCTTTCCTGTGAAAGCAGAATTTTTCAACTATTAAAAAAAGTAGAAAAATGAATCAATGATAAAATAATTTTATTGTCAATTCAATAAAAACTTATTTCAAATTATTGTCTCAATTCCAGAGTGTTTCTCTGGAAGAAGAGGACAGATGAATTGTTCTCTAACATTTGTGAAAGTCAACAAGTAGTTTCAGATTCTGTCTTAACATGGAAGATTCTACCAATGTTTTGTACTCCTTGTTAGGGCATAACAAATAATTCAAAAAGTCTTATCAATTTTAATTTGTGTATCTTGAAACCAAAATTGGATATTTACATGCTATTCAGGACATTTGAATTTCTTTTGATTTCTACATAACATTGATTACAGGAATTAGGATGTCATGTTGTGGCTGTACAGAGCATTGATGAGGCCAGTTTTAGAATACTGCGAACTATTCTGGTTGCCTTTCTATAAGAAGGATGTTGTTAAACTTGAGAAGATGTGGAAAAGATTTACAAAGATGTTGCCAAGACTGGAGGAATTGTGTTATAGGGAGAGACTCAAGAGGCTGGGAGTTTTTTCCCTGGAGAATCAGAGGCTGAGGAGCGAGCTTATAGTGGTTTATAAAATCATGAGTGGCACGGATAGGGTGAACAGCCAAGGTCTTTTTCCAAGAGTGGGGAGTCCAAAACTAGACAGCACGGGTTTAGGGTGACAGAGGAAAGATTTAAAAAGGACCTGAGGGTGCACACAGACCGTGGTGTCTGTATAGAACGAGCTGCCAGAGGAAGTAGTGGAGGTGGGTACAATTACATCATTTAAAAGGCATCTGGATGGGTATACGAATAGAAAGGGTTTAGAGGGATATGGGCCAAATGCTGACAAATGGGACTAGGTCAGATTGGGATGTCTGGTTGGCAAGGTCGAGTTGGAGCGAAGGGTCTGTTTCCGTGCTGTATAACTCAATGACTCGATAATGGCAACCACTGTCCACAATCCCCATCATCTGGTCAAAAGAGGAATTGCAAACCATTAATGATCTTTTGCAGAACTCATTCACTCATTTTACACACTACATTACAAACATTTGTACAGTATCAGGATTTCTTCTCTTTGAATTCAAAGACATCTTAAAATGATACTTGGATATTAATCCTTCCAATTTTCCAGCAAGTTCTATTTTGAAGTAATTAGGCATCATTTTCCACAGGGTTTAAGAAAGTTGACTTTTTGTGTTGACTCAGGAATACGTTTTGAGACAACATACAGAAGCTTTGTCAATGCAGAACAGAATGAGACAAGACTCAATAATGAAATGTATTCTTTTGCTGAAACAATGAAAAATATGCATAAGACCAGTCAGGCTTATTTAATTGACACTGATTTTTGTGCAGTGAGGTTAACATAATAAATTTAATCGATATCCCAAATTTTGTTGCCTAGTTATTTTATGACGAGGGAAGAATCCATAGCGTACAAATTGGTCAACCATATCTTACTGGTAGCACTGCTGCCTTTAGGTGTAGCATGTTATAGATTCTCCCTGCTATTTAATCTCCTGAATAATTGGAGATAAACCTTCCCGAGATTCCAACTGATTTTCTTAATCAACATAATGTAATCAAGTCACAAAATTCAGGATATAATTGAAAGATCCTGAATAAACCTACTTCATTGCATAATTTTTGTTGTTTCAGAAAAAGAGCAACATTTGTAGTTGATTCTCAACTAATTCCATCCTTCATTAACAAATTCACTTTTATATGGTTCCTTAGGACTTAACCCTGAGATCAACAAAAACTCTACTCTTCTAACAATGTTGTTGTTCAGTTACTTGAAGCTGTAAAATAGAACCTGCTAGAAAATGAAAAGGATCAATATTTGAATATTATTTTAAAACACATCCAACTTAAGAAATCCTGATACAAATATTTGCATTATAAGAAGTAAAATGAGGAGTTCTTCTAAGGACAGGGACAATGTAGTGAAGTTAGCTGCGTGAATGTGCTGGTATTTTACCTACGATTATGTGCTGAGGTCAGCCTCAAGGATCCAACAGAATGCAGTTTCAGGGCAAGATTAAATTACCAGGATAACAACAATCATGGAGGCAGTCTATGACGAAACAGCTTCTGAGGGAGCTCCAAATCTTCAATAATAATGAATTGGAATCTACTGTAAAGGAGACAAAGTTTTAGTGCGATTTGGTAATCCACAAAGTCACTGCTATCTGGGGTGTTACTTAAAACCAAGATTGTGCTTTGACCATACATGCTTTTTGATGTGCTCTGTCCAGTGTTTGACCATAGTTTGCCTCTTAACCCATATTGAGCTCGTAATTCTGGATGTTAGAATAGGTGTGTGTATATAGACTGTTCTACTTTTTGAAAACCACGGAATCCTATGACTTTTTTCCTCCTAGTAAGTACCTGGCATCTCAAACATCATTTACTGATCCCTAACCAGATCATAATACTAGTCATAGGTTTTCCTAAGTGGCTAGGGCCCAGATTTCAGTATATTGGGTTGGAAGCTGATTGCTCCCTCCCTGAATTTGTGAACAGGAGAAGCAGCATCCAGAATAAATAAATAGAGTTCACTCACCCAAAACTCTTAAGACATTTCACTCATGAATGTAAAATGTATGACAAGTAAATTGAGACATTTGAGTCCGAACCATTTTTTAAATAAAGTCAAGGCTGATGTTCAACTCTATTTAGACTTTGCTGCACTATTACCGTCTTCAAAAGTCTACTGAGTTCTGACTTCAACTGGTTTAACAAATTGAGGCGAGGAATTTGCGAGGCTTACAAGCCTGAGACATTTCTTCATTCATATCTCATCCTGTTTTTAAATGGTAATCTTTTATTTTGAGACTCTGACTCCTCACTTAAGATGTGCCAAACAGAAAATGTTTCTCAGTATCAACCCTGTGAGTGGCTATGTAAACAGTATAAAATTGTGAACTTGGGGTGACTGGAACTCTATTGTAGGTTCTCAAGTTGAAATTTATTTTAACATTTTAAAACATTTCCGGACAAAATGTTCATGCTTGTCAATTTGAATGGTGAGTTACTCAGGTAATCATAGGCAACATTCTCCAGATTTTGATTATATTGGAGTATTTTCAGCCATAAAATTAGGATCAAGCCTTGACTAGGAACACAGACTAACAACAGTATTAGCATTGACAGATGACAAATACTAATGTGCACTGCTCATTGTTCACTGGTTATATTGGTTACCATGCTTTATGTCTAATAACAGCAACTAGATATATGGATTCTATAAATATGTAGCCCACTTTTATTAAAACAAAATAAATAATAAAAACAAATTCTATTGTACATTATCTAACACTGATTTTATTTGGTTATGCAAAAATTTTGACAATGAAACAGTTTCCAGTAAAAATGCATTTAAAATCAAGATTCCACAGAATACATCAAGCACATCCCTTATAAAGATATAAAACCAAACCAGGTGTTGTGTATGCATAATAACTGTGCTATTTTAATGCATAATGCATGTTTGATTATACTCTGTGGCACTAAATTACAAAACTAAATTCAGAAAATAACTTTTTTTGGCAAACAATTTTTTTCTGTTGGAGCATTTAAAAGCAGCTACAAATTAAGGACTTTTCTGTCCACTCTTATATAGGTAACGGTTGTTTTATAAAGACTATTACAGTAGGCTTTTCTCCTCGTAAGAAAATGCCTCAAATCAGCTCTAGATGGATTAAAACATTCTGCAACTATACTGCTTTTGGGCTATACTTAGCAGAATCTATATACAACCTCTTTTCTCTACAGTCCTCTCAGTAGTGTATGTATGCAGACTTACTGATTTTCCTGATTAAAAAACAAGTCTGTTAAGATTTCAGTCAATATTCATTCTGAGGAAACCTACATCCATGTGTCTTCTTGCCAATTTAATCCAAAAAATTGGACAGTGATGAAAGCCACTATGAATAGAAATGCTAATCTCTCAATTTTCACCATGTTATTAAGTACTCAACTTTTTTTTTATCATGTTTTATTATTGAAAACAACTGAAAATTCTATGTTACCTCTTCATTTTAGCACAGCACAATATGAAAATAAATAACAATTGGAAACACTTGTAAAATGTTACATAGAAATTTACCCAAACCATACAAAAGAGGAAGGAGCTACGCTCAATCCTGGAGTCCTGCTGACCTTGGTGAGTTAGCAGTAAAGGTGCTACAAATGGATTCAGCACTCAGTTCTGGAAATGAGAAATAAAATTCAGATTGTTACCTAGTGAGTACAGCAGGAAGGTGCATATGAAGTTAAGAAATCACTGGATTAAGCTCCAGTGTTCTTCATTGTCAAAAGGCCAGAGGTCACACATCATCAATACTGGCACATGAGACTTGTTATGTGGGAGATGTTGGAGTTCATGGAAATGTAACCAAATGTGAGTTATCATTAACAGGGAAGGAAAGAAAATGGATTATTCTTTACGTTTTTACACACTGAAAATAAAGTATATGTGTACTTATTTGAAGATTAAATACAAAGTGTAAGAATAATGTGATAAAAAGGCACTAAGAAATTGTTAGAGTATGCTTCAAGTATAATGATGAAAAAAAAGGGAAAAAACTTTTTATAAAACCTTTAACCACATAGGTTTACACGTGCTTGAAAGTGGTCTTTAGTACGAAGCTCATCGTCCCTGATGGAAGATAATTAAGCACCATTGCAAGAATGTTAAATAAAAATAAGTATGGACACTTCCACCTTGACACACAAACGCACATCATCAGATTTACAAATTACAATTTCCCAGAATTTTGAATTAAATAGAACATAAAACTGTATCTATGGGGCATGATTACTTGTGCCAAATACTTTAAGCAGTTTGTGAAGAATATGCTACGAACTTCATTGGCCACTCATCATGGGATTACATTGCAAAATTAGCTATAATGGGATGGCATTTAGTGGTACCTAGCGATATTACAAACATTACAAATGTAGGTTGCTGTGAAACTTCTGAGTTCAATCTACAGTTAGGTTCATGGTTTAGTTAAGTTTAAAAAGGCTTTAAAATAAGAATGATAAAACTGAACAGATGTTATACTACATTATCAAGTACTTTTTCCAGTCACACAGAATGTTTGTCAACTACAGAAATACAAATATAAAAATATTATTCAAATGTAACCTAAATGCAAATGACAAAATGTTGCAACGCCCTTAAAAATACAAAGTAAATACTTTTGTTTTCCATCTTAGAGCCAGCAAATGACTAAAATTTGATTTAATTCACACCCTTTATTTAGTACATTCAGAAATATATAAAAGGTTAATATACTTGTGACATTGTAACATGGAAGCTTTGCAGGGAGTGTGACAGATTCATAAATCATAATCACAACAAACAGTAATTACAGATATCTTTTACGTAACTGAGAACACATAATGCACTTAAAAAGGTGCAATATTCTGTGAGTTTGTTTTAAAATACATTTGAAGTATTGTGTGGTGCAACTGTGAAGTAATAATCAATCAGCACTTAGTTTCACTGGGGTCAATGATCCAATTCTTGGACTGCAGAATTATCACAAACACCCATAACATGAAGCTTAATGAACCTACTTCTCAGGTACAGCTGACAGTGCCAAGTCATTTTAAACTTAAGATCTAAGCAGGCACTAAGTATCAAAATCTCAACTCCTCAAGTTTTGTAATAAGTTGAAACATTTTGTAAATTATAGCCCATATTCTACTTTAAGGGGGGGAAGAAATGTTTTTGAATAGATAATTTAATCTGGATCCACCAACTCCAGCAAAAATGCCTCAGTATGCAGCAAAATGAACTCTGTTTTTCATTCACTGATACATAATCACACTGTTCAGAACTGCATCATTTGAAGATTTTCGAAGATTTTCTAAGAAACCAAAGTAACCCCGTATAATACAAGCAGTCTTCTTGAACGAAAAAGGCATTCATTTTATTGGAAGCTGTTTTTTTGTGGTGGGGTAAAGAGCAAATCTATTTGTAATTTTATACAACCAAGCTTTTTTCTAATATAGCCCTATGTTTTACAATCCTTCAGACTTCGACACATTTTTTGATCAGTTCTTGGGTCTTCTGGCTCAAGATCTGTTTCATTAGGCTTTGTAAGCTGGAAGAAAATACAAGTTTGTTAACATCCCATTGAAAGCTTTCTCATTATTTCAAAATATAGTACAAGAAGTACCAGCCTTAGATGCAAAACAGCCTTTGAATCCTGTGGCAAAGTAGACTATTCAGCCCAATGTTTCTGGTCTAAGTCCTCAACACCCTGGCCATCCTGTCATTGAACAATAGGGTAATTTAATGACAAGGCTTGACAGCTATGCCGTTCCTATTCTTGTTCAACATCTGTCCAGCACACTTTCTAGCAAAGGTCAATGGACTATTGTCAGTTTACAGATTAGTTCTCCAGATCTCAGGGTCACAGCTACAGTTGCAGCATCTATTTTCCTCCACCAAATGAGATCCTCACCATTGAACTTTTTTCTCACTTGGTGGTCTCTGAGCAGGTGACGACAAGACAAAGTCTGTCAACATTAAACCCAAATTTCAGAGCAATAAATTGATCATTTAAATGAGTTTTAATAAAAATATTCATTTGAAGTGTAAAGTAGCAGACCAAACAAACAAAACCATTTTTTCAGGTGTCTTTTCAGTTAAGAAGCAGCGCTAGACAGAATCATAAAATTCCCACAATGCAGGAACGTAAGAACATAAGAACTAGGAGCAAGAGTAGGCCATCTGGCCCCTCGAGCCTGCCCCACCATTTAATAGATCATGGCTGATCTTTTTGAGACTCAGCTCCACTGACCCGCCTACTCACCATAACCCTTAATTCCTTTACTGTTCAAAAATTTATCTAGCCTTGCCTTAAAAACATTCAGTGAGGTAGCTTCAACCGCTTCACTGGGCAGGGAATTCCACAGATTCACAACCCTTTGGGTGAAGAAGTTCCTCCTGACCTCAGTCCTACATCTGCTTCCCTTTATTTTGAGGCGATGCCCTCTAGTCCTAGTTTCATCTGCTAGCGGAAACAACGTCCCTGCCTCCACTTTACCTATTCCCTTCATAATCTTATATGTTTCTATAAGATCTCCCCTCATTCTTCTGAATTCCAATGAGTATACTCCCAGTCTACTCAGTCTCTCCTCATAATCCAAACCTCTCAACTCTGGAATTAACCAAGTGAATCTCCTCTGCACCCCCTCCAGTGCTACTGTATCTCTTCTCAAGTAAGGAGATCAAAACTGCACACAGTACTCCAGGTGTGGCCTCACCAAGACCCTATACAGCTGCAGCATAGCCTCCCTGTTTTTAAACTCCATCCCTCTAGCAATGGCAGACAAAATTCCATTCGCCTTTTTAATCACCTGCTGCACCTGCAATCCCACCTTCAGCGATTCATGCACAAGGACACCCAAGTCCCTCTGCACAGCAGCATGCTGCAATTTTTTACCATTTAAAACATAGTCCATTTTGCTGTTATTCCTACCAAAATGGATGACCTCACACTTATCAACATTGTACTCCATCTGCCAGACCTTTGCCCACTCACTTAGACTATCTATATCCCTCTGCAGACTTTCAGTGTCTTCTGCACACTTTGCTCTACCACTCACCTTAGTGTCATCTGCAAATTTTGACACACCACACTTAGTCCCCAACTCCAAATCATCTATGTAAATTGTAAACAATTGCGGTCCCAACACTGATCCCCGAGGCACACCACTAGCCACTGACCGCCAACCAGAAAAACACCCATTTACCCCTACTCTTTGCTTTCTACTGGTCAACCAATCCTCTTTCCATGCCAATACATTACCTGTAATACCGTGCAACTTTATCTTATGTAGCAGCCTTTGGTGTGGCACCTTGTCAAATGCCTTCTGGAAATCCAGATACACCACATCCACAGGTTCTCCATTGTCCACCATGCAAGTAATGTCCTCAAAGAATTCCACCAAATTAGTTAAACATAACATACCCTTCATGAACCCGTGCTGGGTGTTCCCAATGGGACAATTTATATCCAGATGTCTTGCTATTTCTTCCTTAATGATAGATTCAAGCAATTTCCCCACTACCGAAGTTAAGCTAGCTGGCCTATAGTTAGCTGCTTTTTGTCTACTTCCTTTTTTAAAACAGTGGTGTCACATTGGCTGTTTTCCAATCTGCGGGAACCACCGCAGAGTCCAGTGAATTTTGGTAAATAATTACTAGTGCATTTGCTGTTTCCCCCATCACCTCTTTTAGTACCCTGGGATGCATTTCATCAGGGCCAGGAGACTTGTCTACCTTTAGCCCCATTAGCTTGCCCAGCACTGCCTCCTTAGTGATAATGATAGCTTCTAGGTCCTCACCTGCTATAACCTTCTTGCCATTAGTTTTCAGCACGTTATTTATGTCTTCCACTGTGAAGACCAACACGAAATAACTGTTTAATATCTCGGCTATTTCCTCATTCCCAGTTATTAAATTGGCCTTCTCATCCTCTAAAGGACCAATGTTTACCTTCGCCACTCTTTTACGCTTTACATATTTATAGAAACTTTTGCTGCCTGTTTTTATATTCTGAGCTAGTTTACTCTCATAATCTATCTTACTTTTCTTTATAACTTTTTTTGTGGCTTTCTGTTGGCCTTTAAAGATTTCCCAGTCTACTAGTTTCCCACTACTCTTTGCTTTTTTGTACGTTTTTTTTTTCAATCTGATACTTTCCTCTATTTCCTTAGACATCCATGGCTGGCTCTCTCTTTTCCTACAGTTCTTCCTTATCACTGGAATATACTTCTGCTGAGCTCTGAAAAATTGTTTTGAAAGTCCTCCACTGTTCCTCAATTGACCCACTATAAAGTTTTTTCTCCCATTCTACCTTAGCTAACTCCTTCCTCATTCCTTCATAGTCTCCTTTGTTTAAGCACAGGACATAGGTACTGGATTTAACCTTCTCACGCTCCATCTGTATTTTAAATTCTGGAAGGGACTCTTAGGCTCGTCGAGTCCGCACTGATCCTTCAAAGGGCATCCCACCCAGACCCATATCCCCGCACATCTCTTTAACCTCACATGGGGTTTTTACTATAGCTAACCGACCTAATTGGCATGCTGCAGAGCAATTTTAAAAAGAAAAATGGTCAAACCACTCAACCTGCACATCTTTGGACTGTGGGAGGAAACTGAAGCATCCAGAGGAAACCCATGCAGACATGAGAACATTTAAACTCCACACAGACAATTGCCCAAGGCTGGAAAAACCCAGGTCCTTGGAGCTTTAAGGCAGCAGTGCTAACCACTTAGCCACCGTGCAGAAGATGACAAGTCTACACACCTTGGCTACCAGGAAGGGTGGCGAAACCTGGGCCAACGGAAGGTACATATAACAAACACTGATCTTACATTTGACTCTGAAGGTGCAGACTCTGAGATAGCCTCAGTGGAATTTATACGAAAGTGGGGATAAGCAACAGGTGGCTATTCAACTTGGGATTCCTTTCTCCAACAGATGGCTATGCAGAAAAGTTGGTGGTGAGGTGAGGAGACAGAAGACAGGAAAAGTGAAGACAGAGAGAGAGAAGGGTTCCTGCTACTGCTCTTTTGCTCCCTCTTCTTAACAAATTATCTGAAGCTGCACCTCCATCTGGCCCCTCTCCCTGACTCACGCCCTGGTTTGGTCCCTCTTTCTGAGCCATGCCCTTGCCCTATCACTACCCCAAAAGCCCGTGCCTCACCTCGTGCCCCTCTTAACCCTCCTTACCATCACCTCGCCACTCCCCCTCCCCAAACCTCCAATACCACTACCAACCTGCCCCAACCACGGCCTCTACCTGAACCAAAGCTGCAGTGCAGCACTCCTACACTTTGACTACCTCCCAAGGAGGTGCAGGTATCCTACCCATTCAAGTTTCTTTTCTCCATCACTGTTGCTGTCATTGCTTCTAGTGCACACGCCTTGGGCTGAATGGAATGACTCAGGTTTGCATAGCTCTTCCATTCAAAGGTTGTTTCTCTCTTGCATTGGCTGTTGATAGGGTTCCTAACAAAGCTGCCACTGATCAGATGAACAACTCCCTACAGAGTCTGCCACTTCTAATTCCTGTATTTGGAACATGGGTCCTGGGCTGGATAGGAAGCACATAAGAAGGGCGGCATGGTGGCTCAGCGGTTAGCACTGCCGCCTCACAGCGCCAGGGACCTGGGCTTGATTCCAGCCTCGGGCAATCGTGTGGAGTTTGCACATTCTCCCCATGTCTGTGTGGGTTTCCTCTGGATGCTCTAGTTACCTCCTACAGTCCATAGATGTGCAGATTAGGTGGATTGGCTATGCTAGATTGTCCATAGTGTCCACGGATGTGCAGGCTAGTTAGATTAGCCATGGGAAATTCAAGGTTACAATGATACAAAGGCAGGGGTGGTGGGAGGCTGGATTTGGGTGGGATGCTCTTTGGAAGATTGGTGTTGACTTGATGGGCTGAATGGCCTGCTTCCACACTGTAGGGATTCTATGAAGAACATAGCCAAATTTGCAGATGACAGAAGTATGTGGAAAGTAAGCTGGAGGGAGATACAAATAATTTACAGAGATATTGATATTGTGACAATACTGTGCCTTTAAAAGAGGTGTTCTGTGCTGGTTCTCTTGCAAAGGGGTGTTGTCACAGTGGTACTGAAATGTATCCTTCAGACAAGCAGCTGATGAACAGCTTTTGAGTTCTCTCTGGGTGTTTTTGAGACAAAAGAATCACGAGTGGGCAGAGTCACTGCTCACTGGAGCCAAAAAGGCATTTAATTTTGCTTTCGGTTTGTTGATGAGAAAGTTTCTGCTGGCTGCTGGAGCTAAATGCTCGAGTTCTCCGCTGCTACAGTGAAGTCTTAGACAGTGAGATTTCTTCTTAAAAATCAAAAGGGGCACATTGTTTCTTTCTGCTAGACTGAGGAGAGACAGCATGAGATTACTAACTGTTTTGCTGAATTGCATTTTTGCCGAAGCGTGTGTATATTGGATCCTGCCTAGGCTGGAACAGTTGGTGATTAGTGGTTAAATAATACATTATCTTGTTATGTATTTCAACGGAGTAAATTTAAATCAACTTTTCTTTTTTCTGTATTCTTACAACACAGTTAAAATGTGCTTTGATTAAAGCTTAGTGGTGGACCAATCGAATCCTTTCTGGTACACAGTGCCTGACACTTGCTTTTTAAATTATAAAAGTTAGGGTCTAAGCTATCTCCATAATGGATTAGCATCCACAGATGTTACCATAATAGTGGGACTCCTGCAGCATAAAGAATCTACAATGAAGAGAAACAAAAACCATTTAAAATTACTCCTTCTGAAAATTTGCAACAATACAATCTCATAGGTCATAAGTACAAGAGAGTCCGGTATGGTCCATAAGAATGGCTTAAGTAAGTGGGCAAAAAGTTGGTAAATAGAATATAATGTGGAAAACGTGATGCTGTTCATCTTGGAAGGGAGAACCAAAAAAAATACTATTTAAACAGAGAAAAAGGCACAAAAAGCTGCAACACAAACGGACTGGGGGGTACCTACGCATGGAATACATAAAGCTAGCACACAGGTACAGCAGGTAATCAGGAAGGCTAATGGAATGTTGACCTTTATTTCAAGGGACTTGTACTATAAGAGTAGGGACGTCGTAATACAACTGTACAAGGTGATGTGAGATCAGATTGAGTGTACTTAGAACATAGAACATTACAGCGCAGTACAGGCCCTTTGGCCCTCGATGTTGCGCCGACCTGTGAAACCAATCTGAAGCCCATCTAACCTAAACTATTCCATTATCATCCATATGTTTATCCAATGACCATTTAAGTGCCCTTAAAGTTGGTGAGTCCACTACTTTTGCAGGCAGGGCATTCCACGCCTCCTACCCTTCCTCGACCTCTTCATCTCCAACTGCCGTCGAGACATCAATCGCCTCAACCTCTCCACCCCTCTCACCCACTCCAACCTCTCCCCCGCAGAACGTGCAGCCCTCCGCTCCCATCCCAACCTCACCATTGTACTTAGTGCTGTTTTGGTCTCTTTATCTAAGGAAAGATAATTATTTCATTGGATACAGTTCAGAGAAGGTTCACTGGGTGATCTCTATTACGGAAGAAAGGTTAACCAGGTTGGGACTCTGCTTATTGGAGTTAAAAAGAACAAGAAGTAACCCTATTAAAACACAGGATTCTTAAGCAGCTTGACAGGATAAGTGCTCAGAGGATGTTTCCCCGCATGGGAGAGCCTAGGACAAAAGGGCACGGTCTCAGAATAAAGGGCTGCCAATTTAAGACTGAAATGAGGAATTCCTTCTTTAAGGGTTGAGTGACTTTGAACTGCTTATCACAGAGAGCTATGGGGGAATAGTCCTTGTGTATACTTAAAGCTGAGATAGATAAGTACATCCCCTTGTTCAGTCGGGAAATCAAGGGTTATGAGGAAAATGCAGGAAAGTGGTTGAGGAATGCTGGATGACCATAATTCTACTGAATAGAAGTGGAGGCTTGAGGGGCCGAATGGACTGCTCCTGTTCCTATTTCTTATGGTTTTGTTTTGTTTTGTTTGTGTTGTCAGTATTGCCTCATCTGTTCTATTTGTCAGTAGAATTATTGGTGAGATTCAACAGGTATTTTTCAGACAAATATACCTTCAGAAGACTTAGACTTACCATATGTTGATCTTCAGATGGATTTGCATCTACAGATGTTATCACAATAGTGGGATTTCTGCAGCATAAAGAATCTACATTGCAGAGAAAACAACAAGATTAAAATTACTGCATTCACTTCCACAAACCCCCAATTTGCTCCTCTTGCTACAATACAGCCTCATAGGTCACAGGTACAGGAATGGTTTGTTTGAAGCCCTGGTGTTTTCCATAGGTAGCTAATTTTTTGACATGAACCCAGACAGTGAGCGCCAGCACACCGAGTATTTACAGCACTGCATTTGAGCCTGAACCTCACGTATACTCACTTTCAAAGAGAGATTAGAAGATAGTGGATGGATCTCTGATGAGAAGTGGCAACCCACCTCCTTCTTTGCTAAACTCATCTAATTTAGCAGTGGAGGGATTTAATAATTTTATTTAATATTTAACTTTATAACGTTTCCACTTCACTTCATGCAATTATTAAGCTGCTGAACAAAACTACTCACACAAAACAATAAACCAAGCAGTATGCCAATAAATGTCTTGGTTCAGTGGTAGCACACAGTGTTCTGAGTTAGAAGGTATGGGTTCCAATCTTATTCTAATGCCTGATGTTAATTGTATCAATTGAAGTTAGGTACGTACAAGTGGAAGGTATTGATTGGACAGTTACTTGCACACATAAAAAGAGTTACTCCAGTGCTTCACTTTGCAAATAAATTAATTCCAAGCAATTACTTGGGTTTCTTCCTTTATCAAATGGATTTCAGGATTAAAATAGCTGACTACATAATCAAGACTCCTCAGTGCAGTAGCAAGGGAGTGCTTTCTCTGCAAAGATGCAACACTTTGGGTAAATCTTGGACCTGTCTTGATATACAAGAAAAAGGTACATTCACTATGCAGATGGCCTAAAGGCCCTCCGCTTCTTCCTGTCTCACAGGTCCAACCAGTCCCCCTCCACTGACACCCTCATCCGCTTAGCCGAACTCGTCCTCACCCTCAACAACTTCTCTTTCAATTCCTCCCACTTCCTACAGACAAAGGGGGTGGCCATGGGTACTCGCATGGGCCCAAGCTATGCCTGCCTCTTTGTAGGTTACTGGAACAATCTCTCTTCCGTAGCTACACTGGCCCTAAACCCCACCTCTTCCTCCATTACATTGATGACTGTATCGGCACCGCCTTGTGCTCCCACGTGGAGCTCAAACAGTTCATCCAGTTCACCAACACCTTCCACCCCAACCTTAAGTTCACCTGGAGCGTCTCTGATACCTCTCTCTCCTTCCTGGACCCCTCTGTTTCCATCTCTGGCAACCACCTGGAAACCAATATCCATTTCAAGCCCACCGACTCCCACAGCTACATAGAATACACCGCCTCCCACCCACCTTCCTGCAAAAATGCCATCCCCTATTCCCAATTCCATCGGCTCCACTGCATCTGCTCCCAGGATGAGGCATTCCACTCCCGTACATCTCAGATGTCCTCGTTTTTCAAGGACCGCAACTTCCCGCCACCTCAGTAGTCAAGAACGCCCTTGACTGTGTCTCCCGCAACTCATCCCTCACACCCCCTCCCCACAATAACAACCAAAACAGAATCCCCCTCGTCCTCACGTACCACACCACCAACCTCCGGATCCAACGCATCATCCTCCGACACTTCCAACATCTGCAATCCGACCCCACCACCAAAGACATTTTTCCCTCCCCACCCTTATCTGCTTTCTGGAGGGACCACTCTCTCCGTGACTCCCTTGTTCGTTCCATACTCCCCTCCAGCCCCACCACACCCGGCACTTTTCCCTGCAACCGCAGAAAGTGCTACACCTGCTCTTACACCTCCCCCCTCACCCCCATCCCAGGCCCCAAGAAGACTTTCCACATCAAGCAGATGTTCACCTGCACATCTGCTAATGTGGTATACTGTATCCGCTGTTCCCATTGTGGCCTCCTCTACAATCGGGGAAACCAAGCGGAGGCTTGGGCACCGCTTTGCTGAACACCTACGCTCGGTTCGCACTAAACAACTGCACCTCCCAGTCGCGTACCATTTCAACTCCCCCTCCCATTCCTCAGACGACATGTCCATCCTGGGCCTCCTGCAGTGCCACAACAATACTACCCGAAGGTTGCAGGAACAGCACCTCATATTCCGCTTGGGAACCCTGCAGCCCAATGGTATCAATGTGGACTTCACAAGCTTCAAAATCTCCCCTCCCACTACCGCATCCCAAAACCAGCCCAGCTCGTCCCCGCCTCCCTCCCACCTATTCCCTCCTCCCACCTCAAGCCCCACCCCCATCTCCTACCTACTAACCTCATCCCGCCCCCTTGACCTGTCCGTCCTCCCTGGACTGACCTATCTCCTCCCTAACTCCCCACCTACACTCACCTTTACTGGCTCCATCCTAGCCTCTTTGACCTGTCTGTCTCCTCTCCATTTGTCTTCTCCACTATCCATCTTCTATCCGCCTCCCCCTCTCTCCCTATTTATTTCAGAACCCCCTTCCCCTCTCCCATTTCTGAAGAAGGGTCTCGGCCCGAAATGTCAGCCTTCCTGCTCCTCTGATGCTGCTTGGCCTGCTGTGCTCATCCAGCTCTACACCTTGGTATCTACAGGTAACCGCATGTAAAGCACATTGCAGTCATGCTGCAGGGATGTTCCCTGAATAGTACTACTTCTATTTTTGCATTAAATATCATTACTGCCAATGCTCTCTGGCCCTCCTGCTCATTTCTTTCTTCCACCACCCCGCCACTTGCTGTATCCATTCCGACCGTGCTGCTTGTCATGGACAATGACAAAAACTGTGTTTTTTACCTTTTTGAGCTGCAGCTATCAGGACTTCCTGTGCTGGGTGAAGGATGGTAATAACTGTTCAGCAGTGTACTTTTAGAATCAATTTGTTTAAGAAAAAGACCCTTGAGAATCAGCTTTTGTTGTAAATCACTTCCCAGCTTGGTCATATTTATGCCTGTGATTAAAAATTCAAGCCAAAAAACAAACTTTTGGCCAGTGTCAGGCCATCCAGCCCAAGTTAAATCTTTCTGGGATGTAATGCATTCCAGTATACAATCCAATACACATTAATCCTATGAGGAGGAGAACTGGTGTGTGTCCCAGTGCAGTTTGAATAGAATCAATGTTCCATCAAGGAAGTTAAATATCTCGTGTCAAGTCATCCAGTTTATCAACTCCCATCAGTCATAATTAAATTTGAATGAGTATCACACTTTAATACTAGAAGTCAGCACAGGTGGCATGGTGGCCATACCTGCTGCCTTACAGCACCAGGGACCCAGGTTCGATTCCATCCTTGGCCAGCTGTCTGTCTGCCTGTGTCTGTGCAGGTTTCCTCCCACAGTCCAAAGATGTGCAGGTCAAGTGCATTGGCCATGCTAAATTGCCCAGTGTCTAGGGAAGTGTGGGATAGATGGATTAGCCATGGAAAATGCAGGGTTACAAGGATAGGTTTGGGTGTATGGGTCTGGTTGGGATGTGTGAACTCAAGGGGCCAAATGGCCTGTAGGGATTCTATGATACTCTTCTATAGAGGCATCCATGCAGGAGGCCAGGCTGTATATCTCCACCATTGGCAGTTTAATTAGAGTTACTGCGCAAATGCACAAATCTGGTCCTGACATGCAACAGCATTGAAGGTCTGAATGTTCACCACTACATGAATGATTTCATCGTCACAAGTATTTGGGAAAATACTATGGTTAAGTGTTTTGTCACTACCGTCTGGCGCTGTTTTTGGGTTACAAAATGAATAAAAAGAAATTACTTAAATAGAGCTTCATCTTCTGTTCAATTGACAGAAAAACATAAAGGCAGTAAAGTAAGAAATAATGTTCAACTTTACAGTCCTTCTTGTTAAGCACAGCTCCAAGTTTTCTTAAGGTTTCCAGGTTTCTGTAAGGTGTTCCGGTTTCCGAACCGCAACAAGTCACCAATCCAGGCCCCAGGAGATTCCGCCCCCACTGCGACATCGCTGAAGAGTCCTGATCCGGGCCCATCACACAGTCAAAGCTGCAGCTGTCACCTCGGTAGGAGTATCTGCTCTGAGCCTACCATAATGGCTGCCTTTACCATGAGTCCTACTCCAGCCTTTTCTGTGATGACACTTCCTCCGCCGCAGAAAAGAAGAAGAAGAAGAAAAAGGAAAGAGAAAGAAGGATGTGGCTAACCTGGAGCAGATGGGCTCAGGAGCCCAAACGCTAGCTACCTAACAGGCACTGCTATTACTTTTAGTAGAAAATTCAGCTCAAAAGAAATTTTATCCATATTTAGTGGATTAATGCAGTTTAATGTTAAAGCTGTTTATTTTACAATATGCATCAACTGGGTAACTTCAGAAATGCTGAGATGATATCCCTAAACAATGGTGAAGTCAGTCATGCTGGTGTAGAAAGTTCCATGTGACCTGAAGATGTTTCTATTATTCTGCCAGATCATTCACAATTCCTTATAAATGGTGTATATCTAATCAGATTTAAGTATGAAAAAATAATTGCATTATGTATAACCTTACTCAAAATGGTTTTGCAGTTATAAATAAACAATTGTCAGATTGTTGTACAATTCTAATTTAGACAGCAGGAATGTTTCTATGCCATAACATAAATGCTTTACATAAGGCTGTTTTATGACTTGGTCTTACAATTGTTCAAATGTGCACCATTAATGTGTTTAGAATTATGACAGTTTTAACATGCAGCTTTAATAGAGATTAATGATCAATCATAAACATAAATATCCACACCCTTCAATCTTACATATTTAAATATAAAAAGGATCAACAATCTTCAAAATTGACTGACCTGTATTTTTTGAAGAGAGGCATTTGTCAAGGAACAGGCAACACACCTCACTGGGGCAATTCTTCACGCTTTCTGCATTGGATAGGAGAACCTGATTGGAACATATTAATTCTTCTTAGAATCAAGAATTTAGATACATTTAGAAGCATTCAAATCTGAAGCACACGACATGGTCATTCAGGCCACTGCATCAAGCTACCTCTTACCAGCACAAGCCAAAACTAAACCTATTGTTCTGGTTTCTTTCACATTGCAGTATCATCTGATGCTTCAAATACATATCTATCCCTAACTGAAAAATGGAATGTTCTCCGCTTAGAGCATTACCAACGTTGCCCAATTCAAACAAGAATTCTGAAGATGATGTTTGAAAGATAATACGTATGGGCCCTACTTTTTCATTTGATCAGTACTTGAAATCTAATGGACATCCCACTCAACTGTGGACTGTCCGAGATAACTAGACAAGAGGAAAGGATATTTTGGCATTACTCATTCCTTGCAGATCAAACCAGTGGAATATAAAGAATAAAAAGGTGAATAATTCAAAATGGTGAAGCTGCAGTCTACATTTGTAGTAAAAGCAGAAAAAAATTGCAGGGATGGAATGATTTGGCATATTGTCCTGTTACTGAGTACAACGGAAGAGAAGTCAGGATTATAGTGGCCATGCCAAAGTCAGTTACACAAGAAACTAGGTTTAATCAGCTTGTGGCAGCTAAATCTGACAACCTATTTGCAAGCTCTAGAACATTATGCAGCCTGCAAGCTTCCTTGCACAGGCCTTTTTTTAAACCCCAAAACACTGCAGATGCCCCACATAAAACTAATATTTGGAAATGATAACAGCTGATGTACGATATTATTTAAAAGTTAAACTAAGAATATTCAGACTTCAGTGTCAAGTATAACTGATTTACATTAGAAGCAAGCAGAAGCTGCTCAAATTCTCCACTTTATCGCTGGAATCTGTATTCCTGCTAAAAAATCAGGAGTGTTCTGGAAAGGGATTCATATTTTAAGTTCTGTTTGAGGGATATTCCTCACACTATTTGTCTACCCAACAAGAGTTTATAATTATGTCTGTCACAATAACGGACTATCCACCTGGGGGTAACAAAGGCCTTACTGCGTCTAAAGTTGTGTGAAGATGTCTCACCTGATAAGTGAAGTGAGAATCAAGTCAAACACTTTAACAGATAGGTCCCAAAACATTCCCGGGCTAGCCAGATCTGGGCTAGCTCTTCAATGGAATCTACAGGAGTCAATGTTTGGGGTGGGGTGGAGGGGTAGGTAAAATCTTTCCACGCAAGTACAATCTTTAAAGGCATTGGTGGTTACCCTGCTGCAGGTGTCTCCACATTTTGGCACTTGCCAACCTCTGCCTATGTTTCTCTGTCTAGGGCAGCACAATGGCTCAGTTGTTAGCACTGCTGCCTCACAGTGCCAGGGACCTCGGTTCGATTCTATCCTCAAGCGACTGTCTGTGTGCAAACTCCACATTTTCCCTGTGTTTGCATGGGTTTCTTACGGGTGCTCCGATTTCCTTCCACAGTCCAAAGATGTGCAGGTTAAGTGGATTGGCCATGCTAAGTTGCCCATTGTGACAAGGGATGTGCAGGATGGGTTGGTTAACCGTGGGAAATGCAGGGTTACAGGGACTGGGGGCTTCTGGGTAGGAAGTTTTTCAGTGGGTCAGTGTGGGCTTGTTGGGCTGAATGGCCTGCTTCCACACTGTAGGGATTCTATGTTCTAAAAGGACTGTGTTCTGATGGCAAATTGTGCAATATTAGATAAACTTCAGGCACAGATTGCTTAGTTCAGACTCAAATACGGGAGTAAGTCTTCCAGAATATATTGTGCCCACTGACTGAATGAAATGGAGAAATGGAAAAAATACCTGGCAAAAGGTTGTCCTTCTCAAACTGGGGCAAAATGGATACTGCTCTCACTTCACTCACCTAGCTTACATCTTATTTGGGAGTGATTAGTGCCAACACAGAAACAGAGAGTGTTGCATTTCTCAGGACAAACCTCCCTTAAAAAAACCAAATTGATGTCCATTTTTAATTTTAAATCTTTAATTCCATTTCTGCACTTCCTTTAATGCTGTGGTGGTAAGCTACCAATAACTATAAGAGCAAATATACTGTAACAGGATATTATAATAAATATAGTAAATCTCTGATAATTTAAACAAAACAATTAAATAACCTTACAAAACAATATTTCTGTAAAAATGATTTTGTGTGTTAATTTTAATTACACAACTTGGAACTGAGTAGACTATATTATATTTCAATTAGTAATTGTTCAAAAACAATTTACTTATAATACTTTACATACCTCAGAATGTCTGACAGAGAAAGGGCAACACTCCTTAGATAATTCAAGCTCATCGGCATTGTTCGTTTTGTCTTTTTCTAATGGCTGTTGATCATCCTCCTCTTTCTTTCTTGTATTGGAAGTACAAACCTTATAATCTATGATTTGCTGAGGCAACTTTGAATGATCATGCTCTGGACACAGATCTTCGAACTGTGACTGAAGAAAACTCAATTTATCTTCACTTGCATCCTGAGAAATTAAATTTGTTTTATCTAAACTAGTCTCTTTACACAGTTTTGACTCTAACTCTGCTTGAAGAATCTGCAAATCTTGTTTGAGGTTCTCCGGACCCAATGCAGAATTTGAACTTTCAGATAATCCACGCTGATCACTGCAGATACTGTATTCTGGTTTTGGGACAGCAATGTCCTCCAATCTTGTAAGAACCACTTCTTTTGTAAGTAATTGTCCAGAGACAGGATAAACATTGGATTGCTCTGACATTGTCATGCATTCTTGTGAACACAGTAATTTGTCATTGTGGGGAATTATTAAATCTGAACTGAGTTTTGGTTTAGTCCTGGGTTGTTGGCTCATATCACCAGTATTAGAATCTAACGGACTTGTTACAGTACGCATTTGAGGAACAGGGGATTCAAAGGCGAGATCAAAGGGGAGATAGGAGCATTCTCTTGGCTCTGCGGAATCATTTAGATAATCAGTTAAATTTCCCCACAAATCATCAGGTAGGTCTATAGAAATGTCATTAATTACACTTTGCTCCTCTATGCCTTCTATGGGAACACTGTGTTGCAAATCAGCCTTTATTAAAGACTTTGGATAAACATAAAAGTTGCTGGACTCGGAGGTGCTATGAGTGGATGCACTTTTCAGAAGGGTACTATCCGAAGATGAAAATTCACATTCATTGTTACTTTGAGTCATTAAGAGTTTAATACATTTTGGAACAGAATCATCTGTCTCTTCAGAACCAATTTTCCACTCACTACCATGCTTTGACATATCAACATTCACGGAATCCAAAATTTGAGACTTTCCAAGTTGCTCTTCCCAGAAATTATTTTCTGAATTTTGCAGAAGACATTTCTGACAGTCTGCAGGAGCCACTGGTTTCATAGATAGCTCTGTTCCTATAGAGCAGCTATGACATCTGGTGATTCCATCTTCTGAAAATGCTGTTTTATCCTCTCTTGGTGAGGCTTTCCATATTTCTTCAATTACTCTGGAATTTAAGTCATCCTTCTTTTCAGAAAGGCCCGCTTGACAAATTCCAAAAATGGGATTCCATTTTCCTGCCTTCATCTCATCTGTTTGAATACCATGTTTTGTTACCTCTAATTTTTCTTTTGAAGCCATGACTGGAAGTTCAATTAAAATACTATCATCCAACTGTAAATATTCACTACCAGGGAGCAAACTAAGGAGGTCATCTTCTGAACAAGCAGTTGGGATGTCTGTAGTCATGTTTACACTCAGCTCTATAGGGTAAGTTACTGTGTCAACATTCCTAAAGTTACCAGATTTACATAATGAAGACCATGAATTACAATCTTTTCCAAACATATTTGGAAAACAGGATTTATTTTCACCAGCGTCATCACTTTTGGTGGTAATTAACTTAGAAGAATGAGATGGTTCTAAAGAAACACGTTCTCCTTGTGAATTACTTTCCCAATTAGTAGTTTCACCAGAAAATACAATGTCGTCTGGATTTTTTATAACTGAAAAATAAGACTCTCTCTCACCGGTTTCGGAAAGTTCTTGCCAACAAACATCTTTATCCGACAAATCTTTGGAAAGTGATTCTGCTGCTGTCTTACCAATTAATGATGATTCAGAAGTGGATGACAGCCAATGCTTAACTTGATTAGTGCTGAGTGGATTTGTGTAGGATATACTTGATGAAGAAGTTAAAGCTTTCACTCCACCAGCTGTTGGGCCATCCTCCCATATATTCAATGGTACTCCATCCAACACTACACTTCGTTCCCCTTCAAATCGGGTTAGATCTTCATCTTTGCTTCCAATAAGGTTAAGGGTTCCACTGTCTTGTTTTATTTCAAAGGCACAAGAATCCATTATAGATTGATTCATATCTCCTTCACAGATTAGGTCTACTGATTTCTTAAGATTATCCAGGGAATCTAAATTTGATTTAGAACAATCTAAAATCTCATTTAATTCACCTTTATCAAGTAACGCTGGAATATCAACAAAGTGACCATCAACAAATGCACCTGTCCAGAGGTAATCTGTAGGACAATTGTCGTCAATGCACAGATCTCTAATGGACGCTGGCAGTTTTTCTAACAGGTCAGTATCAAATGAAGGTACATTGCTCTTGTAAGCAGTTTCTAACTTACTTTTTAAATTGTTAGAGATGACATTGTCTGAAAGAGGCTCAGTATACCACTGAGGTTCTTCTTTAAATTCCTGTCCTTCATCTTTAAACTTCAACTCTGCTGCAGTGTTCAAATCAGCATTTTTTCTACTTACAACTTTGGTAGACCTCTTCCATCTTTTATTATTTCTTTGCTTGTTCAACCCATTACCTTTGCCAGTATTTTTTCTTAATGAGGGTTTGTCAGTGGAGCACAGAGATGCTCTAATTTGATTCTCCTTTGGTGTCTGGTTTCTTCCTACCATCCATCTCTTGCACTGGCTTTGTGGAAATTTGGAAGTTTTCATTTCCTCAGTGTTTTCATAAAAGTCATTTTCAGCTTCGCTGGAGTCAGAGGAAATAGAACTTGAATGAGTTGGTGCTTGTACAGAATGACCCTGCATCGACTCTGCTTTGTCTAAGCCCAAGATACTGCTCATCATTTTCTTGAAAGATGACCAGGACTCCCAACAGACTGGTAAAAACAGACTTTGTTTCAACTTGGATATATGTTCAATTCTGGTGCACAGGCTACACAAGCATTTAGGTTAGGGAAACACGTTTGATTTTCGCAAACCACTTTTCCTTGTGATAGTGAAGAATTTTCTCAGTCTTGTGGAAAGACTTGAATACACCTAAAAATAAGCATTTAAATAAATATTAAGTAGCATAGCAAAATTTTACTGTAGTTTTCATTTTGTAGTGACACAGATCAGAAATATAATGGTAACAAGCAATTAAAAGAATTGAAAGAATCACAGCAGCTGGGGGAACTAAAACCTGATGTATTACCACTGTTGATGATGATTTTGACAACTTATTGTTTCCGGTGTTGACAAGGGGCACACCTGGAGAGTCGCATACAGTTTTAGTTCCAATATTTAAGAAATGATGTTCTGCCTTGACAACAGTTCAACAGAAATTCACTAGGCTGATTCCTGGGATGAAGGGATTGTCTTATCAAGGATGACTAGGACTTTATTCATTACAGCTTAGAAGAAGAGGAACGATATAATTGAAATTGATTCTGAGGGGGCTTGATAGGTTAGATGTTGAGAAGACATTTCCACTAATGGGCGAATCTCTAACTAGGAGACACCATTACGGAATAAGGGGACACTCATTTGAAACAAAAGGAATTTCTTCTCGGAGGGTAGCGATTGTCTGGAATTCTCCATCTGAAAAAGCTGTGGAGGCTAACAAAAACAAATTGCTGGAAAAACTCAGCAGGTCTTGCAGCATTTGTGGAGAATTAATGTCTTGAGTCCAGTGACCCTTCTTCAGAACTGTTACTTTTGTTTCAGATTTCCAGCATTTGCAATTCTTTGTTTTATTTTAGTTGTGTAGGCAGATAGATATTTAAAATATCAGGCTGTTCACAGCTTAGCAGATTAAGCAAGATTTTGTTGAATGGTGAGCTAGCTTGAGGGTACTGAATGGCCTACTCCTGTTCCTATTTCTTAAGTTATGCAAATATGACATTGAGGCTGTTATTGGGTTGTACTGGTAACAGTTGGCAGCTGAAGAGTCTATTTTCAAGATTCTTGGTTTCATAGGCTGATTAAAGTTTCTCTGTCCCGATTTCTTCTTTCAACTCGTTTGCAGCACTCCGAGTGAAAGACTCTTCCTTTACTTTTAAACCTGCACAGGATATTCTTATGCTGCGTCTCTAGTCTTCAGCAGCCTAATAATAACACATAGGTTAGTGTTGAAGCGCTCTTTTTGTCTTTTTTATGTATATTCCTGGAAGGGGAAACATTAAAAACGTCTGCAAGAGGTAGCTGCCTTCCCAGAAATGTGGGAATAGTCAGACCTCTCATTATCTGAAGATGCGCACTGTCTGATTGAAGTTTTTTGCGTTTAGGTTTTGCATTCCACTGGACCCAAATTAAATTTTTGTCAGTCACTGAACTTACACCTGCAGCCACTTTGTCCTGTACCAGTCCCCTACTAAAAGGCACATTTTGGAATTAAAGGCTGAAAAGTGCCTGCAATATTTTGGGGTTCTGACCAGCATCATAAAGTTCTACACGGCCTTTCAGGTCACTGGAGTCAAAACTTTAATTTCGTTTCCCCTCCACAAATACTGCTAGACCGGCTGAGTTTCTCCAGCAATTTCTATTTTTGTGCGCTTCAGATCTCCAGCATCCACAGTTCTTTGTTTTATTTTACCTGGAGTAGCGTGGTCTCCTTACTGAAAGAAAGAATAGACCTGACACAGAAGGAATGCAGCAAAGGTTCATCAGACTGATTCCTCGGATGGCAGGTTTATCTTATGAGGAGAGATTAGGTTGATTAGACCAGTATTCATTGACATTTAGAAGAATGAGGGGGTGATCTCATTGAAACATATACAATTCTAACAGGACTAAACAGACTAGGTACAAGGATGATGCTTCCCCAGTATAGGGTCCAGAACGAATGGTCACGGTCCAAGGATAAGCCGCAGGTCATTCTGGACTGAGACGAGAAATATCTTCACGCAGAAGGTTGCAAACATGTCGAATTCTCTATCACAGAAGGCTATGGAAACCAAGTCACCGAATATATTTAAGGAAAAATAAGTAGTTTCGAGGCTAAATGTGTCAAGGGGGCATAGGAAGAGAGCAGGAGTAAGGTGCTAAGTGACAGGATTGGCTATGATCATTTTGAATGGCGGAGTTGGTTTGATGAACTAAAAGGCCTACCTCTGCTCTATTTTCAATGTTTTCTACATTTTGATTCCCAATATGTTTACGGAATCAACCTCTGACTTAGGGGTATTTTGCAGAACAGGAAGGTACTATAACTTGTTCAATGTTCTATAGCCAGAAATGTGGAAAATGCAAAAGCATCTACTGTTCCCACTAGCTGTTTAGTAACTACAACGAAAATTGTGCACTTGAATGTCAGATAAGAACAGAATTAAACACAATCAAAAAGCTCATTAATGGTCATTGCTCAGAGTATATCACAAAGAATGGCTATTTGTTCCACTTTAACAGGTCAATGCAATCTACGTCAGAAAGACCACAAAGAATTGTTTTGAATCACTGTTGCATTGATTAATGTAAATATAAAGCTACGCTAAACACCAAAGTTGAAATGTACCATCAGTTTGTTTATAAAATATCGTTAAAATGCATCAATAACATGTAACCTTTTCAAAAAAGCTTGTTTAGTACCAAGAAAGTACGAAACGTGCCTATTAAAGGAAAGTCTGGACAGATCAAAAACCAAAGGCTACCAACAAATTTGAAAACACTAAGATTTTTGTTCCTGGCCTGATTTTGTTCTCTTAGGACTCTCCAGTTAGTATGCCCTTTCTCATGCTCCATATAAGAATTGGAACAGTTATATGCTATCAGACCATTTCATTCAAAGCCAATGCATCTGTAGAAATTGTTGATTCACAGCCACCTGAAAATAAATTGTTCATTCACAGCCATCTGAAAATAAATTCTCCTCCTTCCATCTTCCCTGGTTCTCGGCTATCCAACCGGGGAAACAAGCTTTCAGAATTTCCTCCATCAAGTCCGCTCTGGATGTTTCAACAAGATCAACTCTCAATCTTGTAAACTCAACATATAAAAGCAGTGCTGTTCCTCCAAAGAAAACTCTTACTCCAGGAATCAGTTGACAAAACATCATTATTTTCATTCTGTTTTATTACCCAGATGTACTTATGTAAGGTGTGATTTGTCTGGATAGCACACAAAATAATACTTTTCACTGTATCTTGGTACGTGATCATAAGTTAAATCAAAATTTCATACCCTTGCAATAAATAACAACATTCCATTTGCTTTTGGAATCCCTTCCTGTTTCTGCATAACTTTCGGTCATTCATGTATCAGGACATCCAATTCTCTTTGTACATCTGAGTTCTGTAATATTTCTCCATTCTAAAAAATGTTTTTTTTCTATTCTTAGAACAGTGGAAGGAAAATTTTCATCAGGCCCTGCTTATATTTTCATTTGGCCAACTTTCAAGCAGCAAAACAAAGAAAGAAATCTGTGGTGAAGAGGGCAACAGGTCTTTAACGTGTTATGGACCAGACCAAACTCCTCTCAACATATTAAGGAGATAACCTTTAAATAAAAGTTAGAGTCTAGGCTAAGTATAAGGTACGGTGTTTCAGATGTAATTCAACTGGTCACACTACTCAGCCTTAATCAAAACACACTTTATTCTTAACCTATAGTTAAAGTACAAAAATGACAGAAGAACTAGTCTAACTTTATCTCTATTGGAAAACCTAACAGAATAATAGATTTAACTACTAAACAGCAACTGTTCCAATATAGCAACATCCCATAAACACACCCTTGGCAAAGGCAAATTTAGTAAAATAGATTGTCTCACATGCAATTTGGGCAGCAAGAAGAGAACCCCAGATTTTAGCTGCAACAGAGACGGAATAACAGCTTCCGCATCCAACTTTAAGACCCCAGCAATTTCTGAAAGCTCAACTAAAACCTCCGTTCTGCAGGAGCGTGACTCCACCCATTCTGCTTCTTATACTGTTCCAACTTTTTAAGAAAAAGCCAACCCCTCACAAGTTGTTAACTTGATTAGCTTGGAGGACACAGCTCAGTATCAATGGCTCAGAACCTCAAAAAAAAGGACAAAATACACCTCTTAAAGCCATAGTATTGTCACATGGAAGGGAGTGTAAATATTATGCTGCTTATAGCGATTTGATGCAAATGTCACAGCCAGCAATTTCATTGAGTTAGGGGAGTAGAAGAAGAAAATGCAGAGAATTGAATAAATATGGCACATGTTTTCTGCACCAGAGAATGAGGGAATGTTCTCATTCTACAGATCAGTGACATGGCAAAACCAATTCAAGTGATTTTGATGAAGTTCACAATGTATTCACAATCTGCTGTTTAAACTACCTGAATCTATTTGATGTGATACTTTACCAAACCTTTACAACTATTGTTTCTTGGCTTTCTATGGAATTCTGCTCTCGCCTCAAAAATCACTAAGCTCTCAAAGTAGGAGCTTAGATATTCTGACAGCTACAGAGTCACAGTAGCAATGTAGCCTGAAACTGCATGTCAGGACGATGCAGAATCCCTGAAAGGGCTGACTTTGTGTGAATTGCCTGAGAAATTTACTTTTCTGATAAGCAGACGGAACAGAATTGTTTAAGTACAAGACACAAGACAAACAGGTATATACCAAACAGAATGTTACCATCCCTCTGTCATGAAGAGCTGCTCTCCAGAATTATACAATAAAACTTTAGAACAAACAATGGGAAAGGTCTCAATACAGCAACGTAAGCACAGGCTTACAGTTTAGGATCCATCATAACTACTCAAATGTGTTCTTAACTTGTACCATATTCTTATTATTTCATCTTTTATAATTGCTCGACCATTACTGCAAGTGTCTTCAGCCACAAGCCTTAAGCATCAATTTCCTTCCTAAACCTGTCTTCAGTCTCTCCTTCTTCCTTTAAGACAGTTCTTTAAAAATTTCACTGACTTTAAATTCAAAGACTGCTCACCTGACATTCAGGACTCGATTAGCAGAAGTTTCCTCAGCTAAATTTTGAGAGAAAGGTCACTTCCTGTTTTCAGTGACTTCTCCAAATTCAATTTTCTAGTCACCTACTCAATCCCTCTCCTTGTGAGCTGAGAGGCTTCATCAGGCTGTTCACAACAAATGTGGGACATGCATAGCCAGCCTTCATGTAAGCATATCTATTAAAGTTAATTTTACAGTGACCCAACCCCCACGGACACGAGTTCCACATGCTTACTACTCAATAAAAGATTTCCCCAAAGTCCTGATCATAGTTCTTGCTAACCACCGTATCTCACAAGACCTCAAATGTTGTTCTTCCTACAGGTAGAAATACCTTTTATCTGGTCTTTCAAAATCTTACAAACCTAAAATTATTTTACAAACCTAAAATAATTAGACCCTCAGCATTTTACTTTCAGCAGAAAGCTTCCCTGTATGTTCACCCTTTCCTCACAGATATTATCTTGCATTTCTGGTAACATCGTTTTAGGGGCAGTTGGCTCCAAAAATTAACACAAAACCCTAAAATATTCCAAATTTGTTCCAAACAGATAAAACACCTAAATTCTAGTGGTGAGCCGAGAGTGACTACTCTTGACATCAAAGCAGTACCCAAATAAGTAGCAATCAGGGAACACTCTCAAATCGCTGGAATCATAGCTTTTGAGAAAAAAAGACTACAGTTCTTGGAGACCAAACATCTTAGCCCCAAGGCAATGCTGCAAGAGTTCCTCAATGGAGTGTCTTAAGCCCAGTCTTCAGCTGTTTCATTGAGAACCTTGCCTTGTTCATGAGATCGAAAGCAAAGATATATAGTGATAATTGCATATTAGTTAACAGCACAGTGTTCAATACCATTTGTAAGTCCTCAGATCCAGAAGCGAGCCTCAACAACACACGGGCTTGGGCTTGTAAGCAGCAATTAAGATTCCTATCACAGAAGTGTCAAGGCAATGATCATTTCCACAAAGAGCAAATCTAACCATCACCTCACAACGCTCAACGGCATTACCGTTGCTAAATCCCCAAAGACAACCTGACCATTGATCAGAAACGGAACAGTGGTATAAATGGACTGGCTGCATGGGTAGGTCAGAGGGTCGGAATTCTATGGATAATAGCTGACCCTTCACCTCCAAAAAAAGCTCATCCACTGTCTATAAGGCACAAGTCAGGAGTGTGATGGAATACTCCTTGTCGCCTGTAGGAATCCAGTTCCAGGAAGTTTGACGTCATGTCGGATAAGCATTCCACTTGATCTGCACCCTGTTCCGACAGACACACAGTGGTAACAATGTATATGTGATGCAGAAATTTAACAAGGCTACTCTGACAGCAGTTTCCAATCTCATGACCTCGAGTAACTAAAACAGAAACGGCAGCAGGTGCATGAAAACATCACCACCTGCAAGATGTTTTCCCCGAGAGCAAACACCAACCTGACTTGGAAACACGTCTCTCTTCCTCAGCACTGGGTTAAAAACCTGGAACTCTATTTTAATGGCATGGCTGGTCTATCAATAGTACAAAGACTTCAGCGATTCATGCAGTGGTTCATCAGCATCTTCAACAGTAATTAGGAATGAGTAATAAATGCTGGCCTTGCCAGCAAAGGTCCATATCTCATGAGTGAATGCGGAGGCAGTAGCCTAGTGGTATGTTAATCTAGAGACTCAGGCAATTTTTTGAGGACCCTGTTTGAATCCCACAATGGCAAATGGTGGAATTTGAATTCAATAAAACAAAAATTTGGAATTAAGAGTCTAATGATGATGATAAAGCTGTTGCCAACTGTCAGAAAATCCCATCTGATTTACTAGTGACCTTTAGGAAGGAATCTGCCGTCCTCACCTGATCTGGCTTTCATGTGACTCCAGACTCTCAGCAACGTAACTGTCTCTTAACTGCCCTCTGGGCAATTAGGGATGGACAATAAAATGCTGGTCTAGCCAGTGACGCCCACATCTCATGAAATCTATCTTCTGAATGCCTGTATATCCTTATAGCACGGCTGTCAGAACTGTGACCTGTACTTCAAATGTGGTCTAAGCAAGATTCCATACAGGTTTAGCATAATCTCTCTACTTTTTAAATCCACTTCTCTAAAAGTAAATGCTAGCCCTCAGCTTCAATTTTTTTTTGTTTTTATTAAACTGAGCTATTTTTATTGATTTGTTTTCTTGTGATTCCATTTACATACTTCTTTGCCAAAGTAATATGTGATCTTTTTGTACCAAATGCAATGTCTTATACTCACCTATGTTGAAATGAAGTTACTTACTATATACTCATCCTGCAAGTTTATATATTGTGACGATACTATGGCTTTAAGGAGGTGTATTTTGTCCTTTTTTTTAAAATGAAGAGAGTTAAGACACACGTGACAAGTGGTCTGCTCAAAACCAATGAGGTAAAAAGCATGTGAGACCTCGGGTATTTTTTTTAAATTGGAATAGAAGCAACCTGAATGGGCGGGGTCAAGCTTGCTTTCAGTAGATGTTGGGGTTACGAAAGCTGCTATGTCTCTCTCTCTCTGCTACAGCTAAAAGCTTGCGTTCTCTTCCCGCTGCCTGATTGCATGCAAGGCAATCTATTTTACCGAATTTGGTTTTGCCAATGGTGCGTTTGAGATATTACTACATTAGAACATTTGTTGTTTATGTAGTTAAATAATCTAACATTCTGTTAAGTTTTCCAATAGAGTTAAGTTATTACAATTCTTTATTTTGCTTGCTGCAAGCTGGTAGTCTGACCAATCGAATTGCATCTGGAATGCAATGCCTAGCACTTCCCTTTAAGAAAAAAGATAGCCTAGATCATATTTCCTTGACATATTTGGAGGGGTTTTAGTCTGGTTCATAACAACTGTAATATTCCTTGTCAGTATTGATGAAGCATTGTGATTTTGCATCATTTGCAACTTGGAAAACATGTTTTTCATTTCAAAGTCTAAAATGTTCTTTAAAGCTTACAGCTTTTATGAAGCCTTTAGTCATCTTCTGTAATATTCTCTTAAGAGGACTTGGTATCAAATTTTGTTTGATATTACCCCAATGAAGCAGCTTGGAACGTTTTACTGCATAAAGGTGTTATGTAAATTCAAGTAGTTGTTATTGTAGCCTTTGTCAGTTTTTCACTCTAAACTTTAACGTCAGAACGAACATTGTTCAAAAACCAAACCAAAATTGTGAACAGTATTAGCATTCCAATACACCAATCTGATTAATGAAATACAAATGTGCACTGTAATATTTTGCTATATTTTAATTTGGAATGAAAGACTAAACTATTGAAAAGTTAAACTTCAAACTTCTACAAACACTAATACCTTTTGGCTTTGATTTTTTTTAAAAAATTCTCAAAATAATTGCTTCAACAATATGTGAAACTAAAACCATGAAAACGTTGTCAGTTCCATAATAAAAAAATAATTTTAGCTAACTTAAAGCTGTAAAAGTTTAAGCTGCAAGGAGAGAATACAGTGCATTAATTGAATAAAGAATGATCACATTGTATGAATAAACTCACCTCTCTATTAAACCCTTGGCGAATGAAAAAGCTTTGTTTTCACCTTACTTGACAATGTTTGATTGAACTGTTTTTTGTTCCTCTATAAGATACAAAGAGGAAGTTTGTAAATTATTACTTTTTTAGCAAAATAATCGATCCAGTTCTAAGAATTTTCTGGCTGTACTCAACATAATACAGGTAACTAAGTGGCACAGAATCTCTTAAAATGCCTAATTCAAACTCTCAATTTTCACCGCTAAACTGAATCAGTTACATACATTTCATGAACGTTAAAAATAATACTTGGTATTATAAGATAATAGTCCAGTTGAACAATTGGATAAGTGTCGATAATTTTAAATCGCTTTTTGATAAAGTGGCAGACATTAATGGATATCTTTCAATTTGGCGCACAATTTATCAAACAAGATTTTAAAGACTGATCCTGTGAAGATGGAGAACACCAGCACAAAATTATGTGCATTAGACTAGAAGAAATGCAAGACAGAAGAAAAAAACTGTCACTTTAAAAAACATTAAAATTTGTAAACTTTTGCATCTAATACTTTTGAAGTAACTACAAACAATTCAGGAAGGTGCATTTATGCCACAGAGATTCAACAAAAACTGAAGATGCCAAGTGTGCAATTTCTAAGAAGCAGCTCCAGTTGTTTACCATGGTTAACTTAATTTAGATTATGTACCATACGCATGTTGAATAACTAATCGCTTTGGTGTCTGAAAATTGGAAGCACCAACTAACTGGGAGCTAAATATAATCATACTATTAATTTCAACAACTGAAATAAACAACTTGATCTTGGATGTCTCCACATGCCATATATTTTGTCACTAGGATGCCAAACACCATTGTATGTGTAAAAGACTCAATCTTTCCCAATTAGTCTAATTTAGCTTATTTTCAAGCAGATAAAAATTACACAGAACAGCTTGACCGAGAATGAAAATGAAGTTAAATCTAATACACTTTCCAAATAGAAAACAAACATTTTTGAAGTTATTGCCAGAAGTAACAATTGTTGACTTGGAAACTACCTACCATGTTTAAACTGATGAAGTCTGGGTGTCACAAGCGTGACACAATTTCTAGTTTTAAAAAAAATCAAGCACAGCAGTCAGTTGACAGTGTAGTGATTAAATGTCAAATGAGCATGCCAAAAATAACTCCCAGTGTTTGTGCCAAATACAAGGGTATACATTTCTGCATTTGTCACGAGGCATTTAAAATGGTGTTCTTATAGATAAAGTAACACAGAAGTGAATTAGACTTTCACTGTAACTTAACTGATGTGTCACAGCAACATATTGTTCTGTGGAACAAGTATAGCAAAGAAAAATGTAGTCATTACTCAGTTGTATAACATTTATTGCTTGCCCCTAACATAGGCATTGCAAAGAATTCTGCTTTTGCATGCTCCTTTTGGTGCTCATCGTATCCAAATCCACGTTCTTTTGTTTTTATGATGTCAGTTCATTTCTTGGCGTTGCTCGCGTCTAGACATGCTGGCAAATTTGTGGCACCATTGATCTAACTTGTTTGAGAGATGCCTGCTTTGTGTTGAAAATCTGCAGTTCTTGTATCTGACCAAATACCATCCAAGTTATTCAAGCTACCTCCTCTTCAGAAAAACACTTCATACCCACCCTGTCTTTTACTCCTAATCTCTGCTTGACCATATAAGCATCATCATGCCTTTCACTCAGCCAAATCTTCACCGTATTCTAAAATCATCCTAGAGGGCAGAGGCACCCCATTGTTGTTTTCTTCACAACTAAAAGCCCACTCAAACCCAACTCCCAACTTTGACACATTAACTACAAGTGTTAACAGTTCAGATTTCTTTGTTTCTATGGTTGAGATCACCCATTCACCCAGATAGCTGTGGTGAAAACATCAATTCTCGAAGTGCAAATTGACTGTAGTGTAGTATCAGGGGAATTCCCTGTGGAGCTGCAATAATGTCATCAAGCTGTCTTCAGGTAAGACGGCGTTGGAATCGGAGTCCGGGTCTCTTCCACTCTGTCCACTTTTTCTTTTTCTAACCCCCCCAACCTTTTCTTGTTTTGGTTTTCTTTATCTCTTATTTCACTTATCTCTGGGTTGAAGAGCTCAGTTATGGCGACAGCATTGGCTGTTAGTAAGCCCAGCATGGACTCAAGTGGGCCCAGCGCAGACTCGTGGTGGCTGAGAGTTTGGATTCTCGGCTTCTGAATCGACAAGGCGGTCCTAGCGCCGACTCACGGCTGCTGCGATGGAGGCGATTCTGTGGTCCCAGCAGTGTTTGCGCCCAGTGCAGACTCATGAAGGTGGGCAGCAGAGGAGAGTTTAGGCCCAGTGCAAGACCTGATGACATTGGCAGCGCCTGCATCGGTGAGATGGGCCCGAAGTGGACTCATGGCAATGGCGGGCTTGGGTTTAGGCTGGTGCGGTACACAGCGATATTAGCAGTGTCTGCAATGGCGTGGTCCAGCAAGGACTTGGTGGCGATGGCATCGGTGAAGGCGAGATGGCACAGAAGAGTGCCGACTTCTGTTCCAGCAGTGGTGGCATGGCAAAGGGGAGCTTGTGCCTGGTCACCAGGCCCATGGCACTGCACTTAAGAAAGACTGTAAAGGTGAACACTTTTTGTTTATTTGCTGCCTATATATGCTATATTTTGGTTTTATTTTTCTGCGCTTTAAGATGACACCAGAGAGTGGCAACACTATACAACATTTTTCATTGTATTTTGGGACATTATACAAGTGATGATTTAAAAAAAAAATTAAAACATTAAATTTAGTTAAAAAGAACTCTCAGATGCCATGAAATAACAAGTATAATAATCAAAACCCATTTTAATCTTTTTATTAAAGTGAAATAAATGTTGGGAAATTTAATGGGAATAAGGTAATTGAAATATCATGAACAATCTGTAAATGTGCTTTAAATCATTTAAAAAGAATAACCAATTATAATGGAGATATTTAGCAAAATTTAGCAAGCATAACTTTCATTTTAACTGTTTACTATTTGCACAGGAGCTATGGTGTCATCATTCCTAGCTGCACTGCCAAGGACAGCTGTAGTAGGTAGAATGGTTAGCATGAGGATAGAGAAGGATGTCTTCCTCCCTTGTTTGGTCCCTCACCACCTGCCCCAGAAACAGGCAGCTGTGCCCTATAGAATTCCACCAGCATTAGCCCTACTTAACTATTCTTGGTGAAGCTGTTTCCATGCTCACCTTTGATTTAATATCATAAGATGTAATGGGGTTCAGTACTAATATTGAGGTCACCCAGGCCAATGCCCTCCCGAATGTACATACCTCTGGTGGGTATGTTCTGACACTGATAGACATATTTAGGGTACTAGTGGTGTTTGGGAGATTGGCTGTTAAGTTAGGAGTCTGAGAGTATGACTTTATCAGTCTATTGCTCAACTAGTCTATGGGACAGAGCTCCCAATTTTTGGTGCAAGCCAAGTAAGGAGAACTTTGCAGACTTGACAAGGCTGGCTTTGCTGTTGTCTTTTTTGGTGCTTAGGTTGATGCTGGATAATGCATCTTGTTTCATTCCTTTTCCATTTCAGAGCAGTTTGATACAATGGAGTGGATTACTCAGCCATTTCTGTTGCCATTTTACAGTTAACCACATTGCTGTGGACCTGGAGTCACAAGTAAGCCAGACCAGGGAAGGAAATCAGTCATCCTTACCTGAAGTATGTTAGTGAACCAGATGGATTTTTAGTGACATTTTACAATAGCTGCATGGTCACCATTAGAATAGATTTTGACTCCGTAAGTATTAATTGAATTTAAATTCCATCAGTTACTATGATGGGCGTTCAAAAACAAAAGATCATTGAGGGAAGTGCAACAGCTACTGGGGCATCTAATCCTCAAAGTCACCAGGAAGCCCTTTACTGAGCCAGTCTAAGGCGGCCCCATGGACCAGACAAGAGAAGTAAAGGCAAAATATTCCAGATACCGGAAATCTGATGTAAAAACAGAATGCTAGAGAAACAATGTAGCTTCTGAGTAGGTAGATCCAAAGTAAATATGGGCTTCTTTGTCAGCTTAAAGAGAAGTGCCGAGAGCCACAAACTTCACTCTACCTTGCTTTTGTGAACTTTCATGAAAACATCTGACACTTTGAGTAGGACAACTCTCAATTGGAAGCTAGAGAAAAATGGTTTCCCTCTCAAGGTATGTAGTTTCATACCATCCTTCCATGGCACCATTCAGTTTGATGGCTCCACTTTGAGTGGTTTCGAGATCAAGGATGGGGTGAAACATGGCTATGGTTTAGACCCTTCTGTTTTATATCTTTTCATCTGCCCTCTAGACCTTTACCTTCCCTGCCAACAGCAGAGGAGTACATCTCCATTCACAGACAGCAAACTCTTCAACCTATCAACACAGAGTCAAGAAATATCCTGAATCAGAAAATTTTAGTATGCTGCTGTAGCACTGGTTCCCAAACAAAAGACCAGCTCCAAAGCTCATGAAGCCTAATACCAAGTTTGCTTCAAGTGTCCCCTCAAATTCCAGGCCAATATCCATATCAATGTATCCAATGACTGGAAAAACAAGTGTACCTAAATTCACTCTAGTCACTGGCCAATTCTCTGTTGATTTTAAATGCTTGTGAAAATCTAGCTCATGGTTACTGTTAATATTTTAGAAAGATGATGTTTAATTCTAGAAATATCGCTGTTGTAAAGGTAACACAATTAAAATGCTGGGCTTTAGCAACTGCCAGAGTATCAAAAGAAATGACAGTTCACAAGGTTACCCATGTTTGTCTAATAGAGTCAGAATAGAAGAGATGCATTTGCAAAATAGCGAGTGGGCTTACTTAGTTGTACAAATTGTAAGTATGGGATAATTTTCTTATAAGGTCAATTTAAGGATATCCCAGAGCAGGCTACTACCAGGAGATTGGTGGAGTTTAGAAAGGATTGCCAATTTATCTGGGTTTGTTGGGAAGAGATATTTAGCTGTATTTTGGTTCTTGTGTGGAATGGAGCTCACAGAGTGAACAAAGAAGAGTACAGCACAGGAACAGGCCCACCTGGAATGCGATGTCTTTCTAAAT